GACAGCAAGACAGATCCCTATCATCTCTCCCTGGAGCTGGTAAAACAACCTTCTCCGTGAGCTGCTTTCCCTGTCCCCAGTGATCTAGAACTTTCCCTGGGCTAAAGACAGAAGATTCTTCCCCAAATACCAACCTACTCCACTTGATATAACAATCATATTTGCTGTCTCCCAGGCCTGTGTGCAGAGCCTGCCCATACTGCATAGAAGTGATGACAAATTGATAAGTTTTTATTTGTTGACTCGAGCATTATCTTGATTAGAGCTCTTTCTTGAACAGGAGAATAAATATATATAATTATAACGAAAGAAATATACTTGTCATTACTCAGCTGACATGATTTCCTCTGTAATGAACACATGGGAATGTCTGTACAAATTATTAAATTAATGGAAAGTTCAACAAGGACACTGTAGCTGAGTCTAATGTATAATATAATCTCTTGCATTTTTATTTCATTCATGATAGTAACAAAAATGTGGTTGGGTGGTGGTGGCACACGCCTTTAATCCCAGCACTGGGAGGCAATGAGTTCAAGGCCAGCCTGGGCTACAGAGTGAGCTCCAGGAAAGGCTTCAAAGCTACACAGAGAAACAAAACAAAACAAAGCAAAAAAGTGAAGTAACTAGAAATAAACCTCAATTTTGGGGGAACTATAAAAAAAGAAATAATGAGTCTATCCGCCTTATTCATAGCTCATCACAGCTCAGATTCACTAGTGTAATGCCATCAATACTCTTCAGCTTACAATTTCATTGCAACTTCAGTAAAGTTCAACATTTTGGGGGGCAATTCTTTAAAATATAAACTGAGACTTGGGTATGGTGGTACAGACCTGTAATTGAAGGGACTTGGGAGGGTAAGACAGGAGGATTCCAAGTTGGAGACCAGCCTGAGCTACAGAGTGAGTTCAAGGCTAACTGGGCAACTTAGCAAGATCCTGCCTCAAAATGGAAAAGGATTAGACCTAAACACACACACACACACACACACACACACACACACACACACACACAAGCAACACTAAACCCAGCCAAAAGCCCTGGTTTCGACACTTACTACCATGAAGCAAACAAAATAAACGGAAAGCAAAGAGGAAAGCAAAGATTCAAATTAGCCACGACACACTCAAAGGTAGACCGATAAGATACTTCACTTGAACTGGTATCAAGATATGGTCCAAAAGAATAAAGGAAGTAAGATAGAGGGGCTGATAAACAGTAGACAAATGCCCCAGTTGTACAGAACAGGGAAGCCAGAATCAAAACCGCACACATCAAGGAACTTGATTAGCAATGGATGTGGCATTGCAAATAGATGAAAGAAAGATAAACTACTCAAAATGATACTAGGGCAGTCAATTATCTATGTGGAAGAAATTATACCAGATTCATTTCTCAAATAAAATCACTGAAAGATAAATTAAGCCGGGCGGTGGTGGCCCACGCCTTTAATCCCAGCACTCGGGAGGCAGAGCCAGGCGGATCTCTGTGAGTTCGAGGCCAGCCTAGTCTAGAGAGTTAGTTCCAGGACAGCCAGGGCTACACAAAGAAACCCTGTCTCGAAAAACCAAAAAAAAAAAAAAAAGATAAATTAAATAGCTCAATTCCTAGTACCAAGAATAACAATAATGATGGTAATTTTAGTTATATACATATTTGATTTTTCAAGACAGGGTTTCTCTGTGTAACAGTCCTAGCTGTCCTGGGACTCACTTTGTAGACCAGACTGGCCTCGAATTCACAAATCTGCCTGCCTCTGCCTCCCAAATGCTGGGATTAAAGGCGTGCGCCACCATCACCCTGCACTTTTCCATATTTTTATTATGTTTATTAATGGGGAGGGGAGGAAATGTGAAAAGCATGTATGGAGGTCATAGGCTCTCTCCTTCCACCATAGGGGCCCTGGGAACAAATTCGGGTCATCAGGTTTGTCAGGTTAAGATAGTGGGCCATGAGTTCCAGGCCAGCCTGAGCTATACCGCAAGACCTTGTCTTAAAACAATAATAATAGTAATAATAATAATAATAATAATAAATATCCAGGCACAGTGGTGTACCCCATGTTCCAGTTCCTGAGAAAGCTCAAGTCTAGTTCAGAGTCAGCCTGAGAGACACCAAGATCCCATCTCAAAACCAAAACAAACCCCAATAAACAGACCAAGGAAACGAAAATAAACATCCATACAAAAACTTGTATGAAAATTTTTAGAAGCAGCATTCCTCAAAACAACCAAAAATGGTGCTGGAGAGATGACTAAACAGTTGAGAGCACTTACTGCTCTATCAGAGGACCTGGGTTTGGATCCCAGCACCTCTATCATAATGGTTCACAGATGACTCTAATTCCAACTCCAAGGGATCTGATAGCCCTTTCTGACTATCAGGGGCACCTGCATACACACTTGTACATACACACACACACACACACACACACACACACACATACACAAAATAAAATAAATCATTAAAAAAAAAATAAACCCACCCAAGCATAGTGACACATGCCTGTCTGCAATCACAGCACTTGGATGCTAATATAAGAAGATTATAGGTTTAGGAGTGGCCTCCTCTATACTGAGTTCCAGGCCAGTCAGGATACCCAATCAATCAATCAATCAATCAATCAATCAATGAACAAACAAATCTGAAGGCCTCCAACTGATGGAAGAATAAGTAAAGGCAATACATACATCTAATGAAACACTATTCACTAAAAAAAAGAAGTCCTGGATACATGCCACAATATGAACTTTAAAAAGCTGCTGGGATGTCGGGCAGCAGTGGTGCACACGCCTTTAATTCCAGCACTGGAGAGGAAGAGGCAGGCGGATCTCTGTGAGTTCAAGGCCAGCCTGGGCTACAGAGTGAGTTCCAGGAAAGGCGCCAAAACTACAGGAGCTACACGGAGAAACTCTGTCTCAAGAAAAAAAGAAAGAAAGAGAGAGAGAGAGAGAGAGAGAGAGAGAGAGAGAGAGAGAGAGAG